TATGTAAAACAAAGAAATTTTGAATTTGCAAATAAACCATGGAGATAGTTGGCATACATGTTGTGAAAAGAAAAAGAAAGTTATATTAAAGTTACAAGAAGGGAATACTGTAATAACAGATAACGTGAATATACAAAAAGTGTTTCATCAGTATTATGCTACTATATACAGAGGTCAAGAAATTTCCTAGGAAAAAATGAATGAATGCTTGCACAAACAGAATTTACGAAAGATTACAGACAATCAGAGACAAATTTTGAATGGACCTATAACAATAAGGGAGTTGTGTGAAACTATCAAAAAGTAATAACAGATAACGTGAATATACAAAAAGTGTTTCATCAGTATTATGCTACTATATACAGAGGTCAAGAAATTTCCTAGGAAAAAATGAATGAATGCTTGCACAAACAGAATTTACCAAAGATTACAGACAATCAGAGACAAATTTTGAATGGACCTATAACAATAAGGGAGTTGTGTGAAGCTATCAAAAAGACTAAAATGGGTTGCGGCCTCTTACTATAAATGTTTTGAAGATGAGTTTTTACAGCTTGTACAACAAACGATGAATATTATTTTGCAGAATGGAAAGATTCCTGATAGTTGAAAGGAGGCTAATGTATCATTAATAGAGGGACAAGATTTGATTTTAAGAAGAAACTATTGACCAATATCTTTACTGAATAATGATTATAAACTGTTTACCACAATTTTGGCTGAAAGGTTGAAAATAATTTTGCAGGATTTTATTCATGAAGATCAATGCAGGTTTTTACTTAAAAGACAACTACAAGATAATATTAGAAATGTTTTGAATACACTGGAATACTTGGAGCAGCATAATGAAAAACAAGCTGCATTGATATTCTTAGATGCAGAGAAGGCCTTTGACAATTTGGATTTTTTTGTTTAGAGTTCTGGAACATATGAACCTTGGAGATAATTTTATTAAATGGGTAAGGTCAATCTATACTTCTCAGCAAGCACAAATAATTGTTAATGGAGAAGTAACAAAACCTTGTGAGATTCAAAAAGGGACAAGACAAAGACATCCACTGTCTCCACTTTTGTTCATTTGGGTTCTTGAGGTATTAAACAGAGACATAAGACAAGATCAGAGAATTATAGGATTTAAGATTAAAAAAGAAACTTATAACTTAAGGACATTTGCAGATGATTTGGTGTTAATTTTAGAAAATCCATTAGAGGGAGTAGAAGCATTAATGGGAAAATTAAAGAACTTTGGTATATTAGCAGGTTTCAAGATGAATAATCAGAAGAGAAAAATGTTAACAAAAAATATGAAATTAGAGGATCAAATAGAACTGATGGAGAAAACTGATTTTAAGATTGAGAAAAAAGTAAAATACTTGAGTATTACTATGATAAATATGAATTGTATGTTATTTCAAAATAATTATGTTAAGATGTGGACTGAAATTAAGAAGGACGTGTTAAGATGGGAGAAATTAAAATTGTCACTGTTGGGGAGAATTTCCATGATAAAAATGAATGTTTTGCCAAGAATGATGTTTTGTGTAAACCCAGGTTGTGCTCGAAAACACCTTTATGGATCTCAGTTCAAGAAGCATATTATAGAAGAGAAATGGCAGATAAATGGTTGATGTATTGGGACTTATTGGAAAACTATCAAGGGGAATTTAAAATCAAATCAAAACAATAGCAGAAGGATATAGTTGTCAACAATTTTCCCATTTACAGTTATCTGAAAGATTCAAAATGGATAAAAAGATGTATAGTATTGAGCAAAGTAAGTCAGAATTTGAAATACAACTGTGTACTGATGATGAACATGTAATTGCTAAAATATACAAATTTTTGTTGAAATTAGAAACAGAGAAAGAACAGGTTAAAGAATGTATGATAAAGTGGGCTAAGAATTTTGGTTATAATATATAGATGGATAATGGAAAAATATGTATAGTATTGAGCAAAGTAAGTCAGAATTTGAAATACAACTGTGTACTGATGATGAACATGTAATTGCTAAAATATACAAATTTTTGTTGAAATTAGAAACAGAGAAAGAACAGGTTAAAGAATGTATGATAAAGTGGGCTAAGAATTTTGGTTATAATATATAGATGGATAATGGAAAAATAAAACAGAGACAGAACAGGTTAAAGAATGTATGATAAAGTGGGCTAAGAATTTTGGTTATAATATATAGATGGATAATGGAAAAATACGTGGTTAAAAGGGATGAAATTTACATTGTGTTATGATCTCAGAGAATTTTTATAAAATGATATATTGTTGGTACATGACACCAGAGAAATTATCTAGAATGTGTAAAGGCAC